ACCTCAATATTCATTTCTAGAAGTAATTAAAGAAATCCACAATCCAATGTTGCACTTTAAGAAAGATGCTTGGTACACAAAATATTTACAACTTTTATAATACATTTTCATGTTGAAAGCTTTCTAGAACATTATACAAATACATTTCCAGCAAGCTTTCTCACACTACTTACATTAATCTATTTTTTTTGGTGGGAGATTCACACAGAAAGATGTAGGCCAACTGAAGTCTTTCCCATGCTGTTTGTATGCAATATTTTCCTTAAGTCAGTCCTTCCATACCTTCAAAAAGGACTGGGATGAAGAAAGGGTTCCCCACATTCTTGGCATTTACATCATTTTTCCTCTAGTGTGCATTCTCTCACATCCTCGATACTTTTCGTGAGAAATAAAAGCTTTCAGACTTTCCTGGCATTCAAAGGGTTTCTAACCAGTGTAACTTCTTTCATGTTTTCAAAGTGATCTGCAAGAAATGAATGCTTTCCCACATTCCTTACATTCATAGGGTTCTTCTCCAGATTTCTTTCATGTACTTGAAGAGATCTGGAAGAATTAAATGCTTGAGTGCATGTTTTACATTCATACTTTCTTGCCAGTGTGAATTCTTTCATGTCTTCGAAGAGAGCTGGAATAAGTGAAAGCTTTATTGCACTTTTTACATTCATAGAGTTTCTCTGCACCATGAATTCTTTCATGTCTTCGAAGAGAGCTGGAAGAAGTGAAAGCTTTATTGCATTTTTTACATTCATAGAGTTTCTCTGCAGTGTGAATTCTTTCATGTCTTTGAAGAGAACTGGAAGAAGTGAATGCTTTACTGCATTTTTTACATTCATATGGCTTCTCTCTAGTATGAGTCCTTTCATGTTTTTGAACATTACTGGAAAACCTGAATGCTTTGCCACATATTTTACATTGTAAGGGTTTCTGTCCAGTATGAATTCTTTCATGTACTGGAAGTGATCTTCGAAAAGTGAAGGCTTTCCCACATACCTTACATTTATAAGGTCGATCTCCACTGTGAACCATCATGTGTGATCGAAGACTTGAGGGAGCTGTAAAGGCTTTCCCACATTTCTTACATTCAAAGGGTTTCTCTCCCTTATGAATTCTTTCATGAATTTGAAGATAAGTGGAAGAAGTGAATGCTTTACGGCACTGTTTACATTCATAGGGTTTCTCTCCAGTATGAGTTCTTTCATGTTTCTGAAGAGACCTGCAAGAAGTGAATGCTTTATTGCACTTTTTACATTCATAGGGTTTCTCTCCAGTGTGATTCCTTTCATGTACTCGAAGAGTAGAGGAAGCAGTAAATGCTTTAGTGCACTTTGTACATGCATAAGGTTTCTCTCCACTATGAGTTCTTTCATGTCTTCGAAGAACATAGGGTAAAGTGAAGGCTTTCCCACATTCCTTACATTTATATGGTTTCTCTACATATTTTTGATGGTCATATGATTTGTGTTCAGTGAGAGATCTAACATGTCTATTAAAGGATGAATGATGCATGAAGACTTTTCCATATGCATTGCATTCATATGGTTTAGCTCCTGCAGTTTCCTTCTTCAGATTCAGATTTGGAATAAGACTGAAGTTTTCTCCACATTGACTACCCTCCTCACTTTCACAGAGTCTCTTTACCATACGGTTTCTGTAAAATATGAGAACAGTATTAATAATTTTTATATTACTGATTTTATATTTGTTATATTTATTATGATGTATAGGACAAGATTAGGTTTTCCACCTTGACTGAATTCTCAGAAATTGAATATACTGAATGCTCTGCAAGAGGACTTCAGCCTTGCTATTACTCAAACAGTGATACTTATGTACAGGGCTTATTAATACTAATTCCAAGTGAACTATTTTACAAAAACTGAACCCCTACATCACATTTCACAAAGTATATTTAGTGAAAATTTTCTCAGAACAGCTAAATCTGAAGCAAGCATTATATGCTGTGCATGCTTCTTTTTAAAATTTCATAACATACCAGGATTCTCACATGAGACACTGCTTTCTACTGTGAGTGTAACTCACCTTACTTTCCCCCCCTGGTTTTCATACCAATCTTCAATGTCATGAACTTCCCACGTTTTTCCTGAAATGCAGACCCAGAAAATTGATTCCAAGGTATTACAAATGACGGAAAAATTTTTAGAATCTAAGTCCATGATGACTTATCATCATTTCTAGTTTATCTACTAACATCACCTCTTTCTATATTCTACATTTTAGAACAGTGTTGATGGGCAAGAAACACTTGTTCTCTCCTTGATGACATGAAGGAATGTCCTCATTCTTACCTACTGAGGCCAGGTTCCTGAAGGTTTCCCACATCACATTTCTGTAGAGTCTCTTCTGTGAAGGATCCAGTAAAGCCCACTCCTCTGGGGTGAACTTCACAGCCACGTCCTCAATGGTCACTGAGTCCTGAAACACCACAAACGTGTGTAGAGTAGGATGCATAAGGCTGACAGTACTGGGGATCTATGCTCCATTTCTAGGAAAGTTATGTGTGATTCTGTGATCTCCAAATAGTTATTCTATGTCACGATCACTAGAAACACAATCTTATTCTGTACACTTTTCCTTATCAGATTAACAGCATTATGACCAGATGAAAATTGTTTACAGTTTTACTGTGATCATATTACATCATATTTCTCTTATGTCAGGATCCAGAGCATGTTGGGAAATGACAGAAATGCTATGGAAATGAAATAAATATTATCATTTTCAGATTAATAATTCCTTTTTCAAACCATTCTTTCATCTTCTTATTACCCACCAGTAACAGCACTCCATGAGGCAGGGGGTCTTACCTGCATGAGGTTTCAGTGAACAAAAAATATTGAAGAACTAGAAGCTTTTTTGTCTAGTCTCACCAAACAGAGAGTCCAAGAGGACAGTAGAAACTAACCTTTTAACAAAGCCCAGTGGACCCTGCTGTCCTACAGTACTCCAGACCATTACAGGTAAACAGATGCAGCTGGGTGAATGTAAATATTATTATTGAAAGCACTGCTGTTCATTTGTGTAATATTTATCATACACTCAGGTCTTCCTTTCTCTGTACAATATTTTTTAAAAGATTTTATTTTTCCTTTTTCTCCCCAAAGCCCCCTGGTACACAGCTGTGTATTTTCAGTTGTGGGTCCTTCTAGTTGTGGCATGTGGGATGTCGCTTCAACATGGCTTGACAAACGGTGCCATATCCGCGCACAGGATCCGAACTGGTGAAACCCTGGGCTGCCAAAGCGGAGCATGCGAACTTAACCACTCAGCCATGGGGCTGGCCCCCTCTCTGTACAATTTGATGGGGCTAGAAAGTTATTTGAAACTTAGAACCCAGACACAAGTAAGAAGGCACGACAACTTAGACCATCAAATCCCTATACTCATGTGCCTCAAGGCCACTTCCTACCAATTTGTAGAACACATGGGGAGATGATAATGTGCCAAAAGAACTCTTTTTGGTCAAACGAGAACAGTGTACCCTGAGCCTTGCTGCCCTTGAGAAACTTGTTAAAAGCTGCAGATTGCATGGGAGTTCATTCAAGTCCATGAAGGTTTGATGGTAAATTTGACAATTATTCTAAAATATGTGAAGGATTTAACAGACCTTTCCTCCAAAAGAACATAAAATCTCCACTGCCAACTTCAAAAGGACGTGCTTCTCAATCAGCCACTCGAGATCATTTTCTGCCAACTTCTGATCCCGCATGTAAGGAACTTAGAAGGTGTGATTCTTGATCTCACAAGAAACAAATGAACTAATGAGAAATGAACAACTCTTCTTAGATCTATGAGAGCCTTGAAGTGATAGACCAAATCAGTGTCTCCAAAATTTGGAAAGACAAAAGAAAGATGGCATTTTGAAATATGTCCTAGATATTGGTCTTACGAAGGCCTGAAGTAAACAAAAACATCTACTTCCCCAGATTCTAATGCAAAGAGAAAAAGAACAAAAAATGCAGAACACCATACCCACGAAGCCCAGGAAAACCCTCTATCACAGAAGAGGTAAAATACACATAATGGGAATACCTAAAGGGAAAGAACGACAGAAAGAATCAGAAGAACAAGTAAACTATTAATCACCAAAATAGCATAAAATTGATGATACCCTGCAACGTGTCCATCCAGGAAGCTCAGAGAACGCTAAACATGATCAACTACAGAAGTGCACCCCCAGGGATATCATCTTAAACTAGAGAAAAATCGAAGACAGAATATATTTAGAAGTGCTGAAGAAGAAACACATCTTAGCTATAAAGAAACAAAGATTTGAATTAAATTGCACTTCTTTTCAAAAACCATGCAAGCAAGAACCGAGTAAACCGAAATACTTAGAGTTTTGAAAATAAAAAAAAACACTGTCATAGAATTTTCTGTCAAACAAAATTGTCTTTCAAAAATAAAGGCCAAATAAGGACTTTCTGAGACAAAAATTAAGGAAATTTGTGATGAGTACACCTACTTTGAATGAAACGTTCAAAAATTTATTAGAAATCATGTAAATGATAAAGGTAGAAGATTAGAAAAGGAAAAAATGAAGGAAAAATATCTTTCATATTTCTTATAAGTAACATAGGTGACACTGTGTAAAATAACATTAGCAACAATATATTTGGTAAGGAGAGCCTTATGAACAAGTGAAATAAATGACAACAATGTGACAAAGGACAAGGAAGGGGTAATAGCGTTAAGAGGTACTTGCACAATAGTGAAGTGGCACAGTGTTATTTGACAGAGGAGGTGTGTCAGTTGTAACTGCATGATAAAAACTCATGGCCAACCACTAAAAAATGTTTTTAAATACTATGTAACTGATAATGCTAAGAGGAGGTGGAAGACAAAAAGAAAAAAGGAAGGGTAAAAATGAAAACAGTGAAAGGTTTGGTAAATATTACTTCAACTACATCAATAATCACTTTATCAAGTCTCAATACAACTGAAAGACACAGTATTATAGGATTTCAGAAAACACAACTATATTTTGTCTACAAGAAGCCCAGTTTAATGATAAAGACACACAGAGATGAAGGGTAAAAGCATGGAGAAGTATATACCATGGCAACACTAATCAGAAGAAAGCCACCATAGCTATATGAACTAGAGACAATGCAGATATCAAACCAAGGAAAATTCAGCGGCACAGAGGGGCACTGGATACAGCTAAAGGGTTCCACTGTCCAAGAAGGCACAGCAATCCTTCATGTGCACCTGTAGAAAGAGGGGCAAATTAAGTGAGGCACGAATTGATAGAATGCAAGGAAAAACAGATGCATCTATACTATAGCTGTAAAATTCAATACCTTGTTATCACGAATTGTAAATTCCAGTAGGCAGTCAATGAGGAAGGACAGAGGTGAAACGAACATCAGTGTGAAACAACTGGATTTCATTGTAACTTATGGAATACTTCATACAATAACAGCAGAATATGCGTTCTTTTGAAGTTCACATGGAACATTTACCAGGATAAACCACTTCTGGGACAGAAATTTGAAAGAACAGAAATCATACAAAGTATGCTCTCACTTCATATAGGCATTCATGTAGAAGCCAGTAAGAGCAAGATATTTGGAAAACCCCAAAATATGTGAAGATTCTACAACACATTTCTAAATAATACATAAGATCAAAAGAGAAGTCTCAAGAGAAGTAAAAATTATTTTGATCTACAAGAAATACAAACATGACATAAAGTGTCCTTGGATGCAGCAAAAGCATTGACTACAGGGCAGTTCATGCCATTAATAAATACACTGGAGGGGCTGGCCCTGTGGCCGAGTGGTTAAGTTCGCATGCTCCGCTGCAGGCAGCCCAGTGTTTCGTTGGTTCGAATCCTGGGCGCAGACATGGCACTGCTCATCAAACCACGCTGAGGCAGCGTCCCACATGCCACAACTAGAAGGACTCACAACGAAGAATATACAACTATGTACTGGGGGGCTTTGGGGAGAAAAAGGAAAAAGAAAAAATAAAATCTTAAAAAAAAAAAAAAAAAAGTAGAGGAAGATGGGCACGGATGTTAGCTCAGGGCCAGTCTTCCTCAGCAAAAAGAGGAGGATTGGCAGCAGTTAGCTCAGGGCTAATCTTCCTCAAAAGAACCCCAAAAACAAACAAACAAAAAAACTCGAAGAAGATCTAAACAGACAGCTCATTGAAGAAAACATAAAGCTGGAAAGTAAGTAATAAGAAAACATGCTCCAGGGGCCGGCCCGGTGGTGCAGTGGTTGAGTTTGCATGTTCTGCTTTGGTGGCCCAGGGTTCGCCAGTTCAGATCCCCGGTGCGGACCTACGCTGTGCTTGTCAAGCCATGCTGTGGCAGGCGTCCCACACAGAAAGTAGAGGAAGATGGGCACAGATGTTAGCTCAGGGCCAGTCTTCCTCAGCAAAAAGAGGAGGATTGGCAGCAGATGTTAGCTCAGGGCTAATATTCTTCTTCTTCAAAAAAGAAAAAACACGCTCCACATCAAATATCCTTGGGAAATTGCAAATAAAACAACAAGGTATCATTAAAAACTTATTACATGGGTAAAACAAAACACTCAGAACACCGAATGTTGGTAGATAAACAAAGCTACAGGTAATCCTCAATCACTGCTGGTGGAAATGGAATTAGGTCCATCTACAGTGAAAGACAGGAACTTTCTTTAAAACCAAAATATTCTGTTACTATACAGAGTGAGATCCAGCAATCACACTCCTTGGTATTTTCCCCAATGAATTAAAACCCTCTGTTCACAGAAAACTACATGAACGTTTATGGGCACTTTATTCATAATTGGCAAGAGTTAGTGTTTTAAGCAAGATGTCCTCCAAGAGTTAAATAGACAAAAACAAACAGTGGTGTATCAATAGAATGAAATACTGTTCAGTGATAAAAAGAAATGAGGTATCAAGCCATGAAAACACATGGAGGAACCTTAAAAGTATATTCCTAAGGAAAGAAGCCAATGTGACAAGGCTATGCAGTGTATGCTTCCGAGTATATGACATTTTGGAAAAGACAAAAGTACGAGCCACTAAAAAGATATTTGGTCATGAAGGATTTGGGGGCTGGGGAAGGGATGAACCAATAGGTGGAGCACAGAGGACTTGTAGGCAAGTGAAACTCCACTATATGATACAGAAACGATGGATCTATGTCATTATACATTTGCCAAAACCCATACATGGTGTAACACAAAGTCAATGCTAATGTGCACTGTACACTCTAATGCATCAATATGGGTTTGCAAATTTTAACAAATGTACCACATTAGTACAAAATGTGAAAAAGACTGCAAAATGTGTGGATGCAGAGATAAGGGTTATGTGGGAACTGTAAATTCTGGTTAATTTTTCTAACAAAAAGTGCTCTAAAAAACCCCGCAGTCTTTAAAAAAAAATGAAAGACTGATTACAATTCACCCCTGATGACTGAAACAAGAGATCTCTCATTCAACTGATCTCAATAAGCCAGTATGGTGCTCTGTGAGCCTGAGAGCCATAAGGGAGTGGAAACTTGCATTAACTGCCTTGTTAGAGAGCACAGCACTGTATCCTCTGAGAAGTGCCATGGTCACTATCAATAGTGTCAGAATTCCAAGGTGCATAAACAGCATCCTGGTATGTCCTTGTAGTGTAGACCTGGTCATGTTCACACAATTGTTACCTTGATTTCTATCTTGGGTATCTGTGAGTCAAGAGATTCCTAGAGTTCCTTTACTATAAAGGGGCATCTCTCAGACCATCATCCAAGAGTTTGCGAACATATGCTGATGAGCCCAGTTTTCAGGTCACTAATAAGATGACTACATGATGTTTGGTTAGAATATGTTTTGTTCTTCATCAGGAACATCCCAATTAAGGGATGAAGATTGGCAACCCTTCACTGAGCTCCATCATGTACGAATGTGTATTGTCCTTAAAGTGTGTGCACTCCCCAGTGTTGTGCATTCAGTTAACAGCAAGGAACTACCCAGGGAACCAAGGTGTCTGGGAGAGGGGTGGCCTCCTCCATCAACCCAGCATTGTTCAATGCACTGAAGAAAGGCCATGCCCCTCAGCAGGTGGCATAAACTACAGGGGAAAGCTTAGGGCCCATCAGGTGGCTGAGCTGGTTAGAGGCTGTTTACAGGGCCAAAGTCAAAAAAGGCACCTCGGGGGGCTGGCCCTGTGGCCAAGTGGTTAAGTTCGAGTGCTCTGCTTCAGCGGCCCAGAGTTTTGTGGGTTCAAATCCTGGGCACAGAGACGTGGCACCGCTCATCAGGCCATGCTGAGGCGGCATCCCACATGCCACAACTAGAAGAAGGACCCAGAACTAAAAATGCACAACTATGTACCAGGGGCCTTTGGGGAGAAAAAGGAAAAATAAAATCTTAAAAAAAAAAAAAAAAATTTGAATTCTCCACTTTCCAAAAAAAAAAAAGCCACCTTGGTAGAGGGTCACATGCTCAGTGCTTGTTAGAGTCGCTAACTGCAAGAGATCTCATACATGGTGACAAGAGCGGCTCTAAGAGCATGTAGTGTGGGGCCTAGGGCAGGTTGTTGCATCAGAAGCCTATAGATAACTTAAGGCCCTCCTCCAGAGACTAAAATCATGTGATCAAAGCTACAGGCCTCCTCCACAACTGGTTGCTTTATTGAGTCTAAGGTACACAGTTTAGGTGGGGGTTGAACCCAACTTATTTGTTGTGCCAAACGCAGATTGAGGGTGTTGTCCACTATAACGCAGAGGGTCAGAATCTTTGTTACAACAGACATGGGGGCACCAGCAGTAGTTACTTAGGGGTGCCAGTGAGCCCCCTGTAACCTCACCACCTACTGGCTGCATTTTTGATTCTCCTCTTTCCCTCTGAAATAAGTTGTCTTTAACCAGTGATGATCTGGTGGGCTCAGCTCATTCACAGGTTATAATCTCAAATCCCTACACTCTCCCTAATGTCAAGGTGACCCCAACTTCAGCCACATCTTCACTCTAAACACACGGATAGTTTCCACTGAGGACATAACCCAGGGCCACATTAAGGAAGGCCCCATTCCCAGAGTCCTGCTTCCACAGGAATGAGACTACCAAGTTTGAGAACTCTGTACATACAGTCCAGGCTCGCTATGGTTAACAATGCAACACAGGGCAGCACAGTGCACAGCAGGAGCTGCCCAGCAAGCAGCAGCCCACAGTGCAGGAGCCTCCAGGCTTTCTCATCAGCCTGACCAGATAAGGAGGCCTGGGAAGTGGGGGGAGGGAGGGTGAGGCTTAAGTTGTCAGTAGTTAAACATCAAATATGTGGACCCAGGCTACTCAGTATAAGAACAGACACAGGGCTGGCCCGGTGGAGAAGTGCTCAAGTTCCGGTGCCCTGCCTTGGTGGCCCAATGTTTGCACGTTCAGATCCGGCCGCAGACCTACAGACTGCTCCTCAAGCATGCTATGTTGCGCATCCCACATACAAAACAGAGGAAGATTGCCACAGACGTAAGCTCAGGTCTAATCTTCTTCACACACACACAAAAAAGAACAGATCCAGGTAAGACACATAGGCGTCTGCAATGTCTTCTTTTTATATTAAGAAACACTAACAGGGGCCGGCTCCGCGGCTGAGTGGTTAAGTTCGCACGCTCCGCTGCGGCAGCCCAGGGTTCGGATCCTGGGCGCAGACATAGCACCGCTCATCAGGCCACGTTGAGGTGGTGTCCCACATCCCACAACTGGAAGGACCTGCGACTAAGATATACAACTATGTACAAGGGGAGTTTGGGGAGATAAAGCAGGGAAAAAAAAAAAGATTGGCAACAATTGTTAGCCCAGGTGCCAATCTTTAAAAAAAGAAACACTAACAGGATGATGAAGCAGTGATCAAAACTGGCCATGTGAGGCAGGCTGGAATAGGAGCAGAGGAGTGGGGCAGGACGTGCAGGCGGGGAGTCTTCTTGCGTTAGTTTCCTCTTAGGAATTGTTTAACCTTCCCATACACTATTTAAAATAAGGAGACAAATTTAAAGACACATATTTTCCTATACTTGACAATTACGTTTAATTAAATTTTGCATTATTACTTAACTTCATTTAAACTGTTCTACATAAGGAACCACTCTAAGATTTAATCCTTTAAACACTAGTGGATATAAAATTGTAAACCATAAAAAATTCACAAATCCTTTCTGAGTAAAAGGACAAGGGGCATTACACCTTGTCCTTCCACTATACTTCACACTGGGGATATTTTCAGGAATGGGTAGCATACTATAATGCATTAGGGGTTTTGCAATTAAGTCCTGAAATGTATAGGAATTTGAGAGATTTACACAAACTGCAGTGTTTTCCTCATATCAATTAAAATAGAAACTCAGTTTTCCCTCATATCCATGAAAATAAGAACTCATTTGCCTTAGGATAGTATAGTATAGTATAGTATAGGCATTAAAACGTCAAGGATCTCTAGAGACATGGACATACAAACAGGGACCTAACAATGAAAAACGCACCGAGAGCTTAAATACACGCATCTCACAACTTGAGGTTCTCTTGCCTAAATGGAACAAAAAATCTACTTGGTTCCACAATATTCCTGCCTTACATCATATGTCTCAATCATCTTACAGCTTCAGGGCCCAAGTGCTAGTGGAAACTACAATCAAAGGGCTTTAATCTTCAATTGATAAAGGAATCCAACAGAATGAAACACAAATATTAGAATCAAAATGGATAAGCAGCCTGGTTCTCCTCAGTTGAACAGGAAAATCCACATTCAGAAAGTTGAACATGTTCCCAAACTTGGGGTCTAGACTCTCCTGGTTGAGATGTAACCCCTGGAGAGGGTCAGTCCCTGGTGAAGGAGGGTGGAGACACCCAAGCAGCCACAGGAATGAACTCTGGGGGCTCCACACACCCTCCCCTCTCCTGTGAGCATGGAAGCACTCCCTCCCTGAGGCTTCCATTCTCACAAGTGAGGACACTCTCAGCCTAATTCAGTTTGAGATTCTGACCCACATGAACTCCAAATGCATAAACCCTTTGTCCACAGGACAGAACACCTGATCTTCACAGGCTTCTCAATGTCGACCAGTCACGCCATGAATAACCCACACTGTGGATGCAAAACTCAAATATAATGTCTAGAAATGTCCAGGCCTAGGAGAGATGTCATCAGCACAGCAGTGAGTTGTTCCTTTCCTCTCTCCCACTTTGAACTACAAATAAATAGACATTTATTGACCAACAGAGCATACCCACACAGCACAAGACGACACCTGAGAGGACCACGCAGCTATAAATCTGAAGGTGGACAGACTGGCCCCCTCAGGAATTGGTGGAGAGGTGAGTGAAACTCTCGCTTCCCCAGCAGCCCTGTGTGCATGCCCGAACACTTTCTTGGCTGGCTTGAGCACCCATAATACTGTCCCAAAAGTGGGAGTGCACCTCAGTGCAACTGTGGGAAGTGGCAGCAGCAGCCCAGGGTCTACAAGCAAATGCTTTCTCAGTTGGTGGGAGACCTCATCCTGCTGCTGTGGTCCCAATGAATGGCCCAGGCTCAGACCCCGCAATGAAGCCCCAGCAAAAAAGCACAGCAGCTGGCATGACTGTAAGAAGAGGAGGCGGCAGATATACGTGCATGCAAAAGCTTCCCTGGCTGGTGCAGACACCCACAGTACCACTGCAGCCCGAAAACTGGGAATACACATTGTGTTGCAGGAGAGCATAGCAACATTATTGCAAGGCTTTAAGCTTAGCAAGAACAAATTACAAAATGGGTGGCTGAGAAATGTCCGATCTGCTAATTCTCATAAATTACCATGCCAGATTGTTTGTGCTTTTGAATCAAAGGCCAGAAGGGAGTATCTTATCAAACATGAAGGCAAGGGGCTTAGGAACCCCGGGCCCTTGCAGGAATGGAACGCCATCTGCATAACTTACTGATTGATTGTTCCTAGGACACTCCCTAAGAAAATGGCCTTGAATAGGGCCGGGTACACTGAAGCGGGGAAGACTAGAACTGCTGAGCTTTGACTTGCATATCCCTGCTGGCGTGAGTTCCTGCTGTGCTTGTACTTCTTTGGCTGCAAATAAATACATGGCGATCAGAGGGACCTCACCTCAGTCCTTGAGGCTGATGGTTCCCTGTCCCAGTGAATAATATACATTGTGTTGTGTCCGTTATATAGGCTGTGTTCTGTCCATTAATTGTGTCAGCCCCTTCAGCTGGCTGCCTAGCTGGTCTCAGCAGCAACATTGGAGCAGGGGAAGCTCTGAGCCCAAATGTGAAGGCTTTCCTGGCTGGTGTGACCATTCACTGTACCCACAACATCCAACAGAGAGACTGGGATCACAAACACAGTTCCTGCTTCCCACCAGTGATTGCAGGTGGAATCTGTGACCTGATACTACCACAAACGCCCCAATGATGTAAACTATTATGAACTCAAAGATGACAAACCCAGGAAAGGGCAGTGCCGACAGGACAGCTCACCCAGAAAATTAAAAAAGGAACCTCCACCCAAAGGACTTCCCACAGGATGTCTGCGCCCAGAAAGATCCTGGGGGAGAGGCACGAGGATTTCATACAACGCAGTTCCAGGTGGTTATAGGTTGCATTTCCATCATGTAAAATATCCACAAATATCTTTAGAAAAGAGCTATCCAAGGTTCTTGGGGAAAAGGATGAACAATTAAAATACTGAGTCTGTTTGAAATGCACCACGAAGGAAAATACTTGATAATGATCCTGAGAACTAGAGAGGAGAAAATGGCTTTGGGAACGCCGGGAGGGATGGGAAATTTAGCGATTAACTGCCAGTCCCAGGAAGAGCTAGGCTGGGGGAACAAAGCTGTGGGTTTGAGACCCTGCCCCCACAATATATGGAAAATTCAGGGAAAAGAGGTCCCCCGTGGGGAGAAAGGAGGCCCTGCGGACACCACAGACCACAGCTCCTCCGCGCACGGACCCCGGAGACCGAGGCCCGACTGTCCTGCGGACCCTCCCGCGGGCCCCGCACCGTCTGGGACACGCGGGGCTGCGGGCGCACAGCGGCCCAGAGACGCTCCGGCCCAAGTCGCCGGGCGCAGGGACCGCAGGACGCCCGGGGCTCGGCTGCGGGCCCCGCCCCCACGCTGCGGCCGGAGGGGCCTGACGGCTGAGCGGCGCCACCGCGGACTCGGGGCCGCAGAGCCCGGAGGGGACCGCGGGAGGCCGGGCCCGCCCCGCCGCTTCCCACCAGCCCCTCCTCCCGTGTCCTCACGCCGGGGCCGCACACTCACCATTTCTAGGGCTCCCGGGTTCCCTCAGTCTTTCTTATGACCCCCACGGCCAGCGCACGTCACAGACCTACAGAGCCAGCTGCGGAGCAACGTCAGGCCCTTAAGAGCACGTGACCCGTTACCGGAAAGAGAGTGGAGCGACAGGAAGCCGGCGGTGGGGGGGCGGTGCGGAGCGTAGCCCCGCCCACGTGCCCCGGAGCCAACCCTGATTGGACAGTTCAAAAGGCCCCTCAGTTCTGAGTGACAGCGGGATGGAGATTACATTTCTGAGCCGACCTAGAGCTGGAAATTGTCCTATGACCCCTGCGGTCAGTGCAGGTCACGGCGCGACAGAGGCTGCGGCAAAACCACCATGAACCGCTGAAGAAGGGGACACGCGATCCTGAGAGAAGCCGGAAGAAACGGGGACATGAATGCCGGTGCGTTGCGTAGCTCCACCCACGGCCCCAGCGATACCCCCGATTGGACAGTTCGCAGGCCCCCGCCCCCTCGCCGCTGAGTGACATCAAGGAGGGAAGACGCTTGCCTCAAGGGAAGCACTTCCCCTTGGTAGGCTGCAATCTGTCCTTTCTGGGTCATTTACGTTTAAACAGAACTTTTTCCTGGCTTGGGGCTGACTCTGTTCTTCTGGAAGGCTGTGCAAAATAAGTTGTTACAGGTGTGCACAGGGAATCCCTGATTCAATTTCAAGAAGGAGCAAGTACAGACAGGTGGGTGGCCCAGGCGAGGACACACTGGAAAAGAAGCTCTTACGGCCTCTAGGAGTCAGGGGCTTGGCGTAAGGCTGCGAGGCCACTCATGCAACTGTGACCTTTATTTAGAAAAGCAGACACTTAAATGTGACCTCACCAGCTGGGATAAAGTGTCTGGCCCCATTTTGATCTTTCCGCCTTGCCAGCGATCAGCCTTCCACCCATCCCAGGCCCACCCCGACTCAGTTGGTTCTTAGGATAAAGAATCCCGGGGCCCTGGGCTCTCTTGGGAAGTTGGAACCCCACAGCCCTAGCGGGGTGCAGGAACTCTTCTCACCAACCACAAGCAATGAGATGTGGTCACCAAATTCTCAAGTGTGTGTTTTGCACTGGAAGGAAATTTATTTTGGATCAATTTTTTCCTGTGAACCTAGAGAAGTTTGAAATGTAAACGGAATAACATCCTTAAGACAATTGATTCCCATTTTCATTGCTATATTGTTATGTAAATATGGGATGCACCTGGAAACTCTTCTCCCAGCTTTAACAAGGTATAATTGACTAATAAAAGTGTCTGTATTTAAAGATTACAATGGGATGATTTGATACACTTATTCTGTGTTGTATAATTGAAATTACTAAGAGAATGGCTCAAACATTCTCAACACACACACATACACACACACGCACACACACAGAAGAGGAAACTATGTCAGGTGATGGATGTGTTAATTAACCTGGACATTCTTATATGCCTGAAAGCCTGGATTGCAGAACTTTATTGATTTATTTACTTCAACAGCTCTATTGAGATGTAATGCATATACTGCACAGTGCACCCGTTAAAGGGTGCAGTTCACTGGTTTTCAGTATATTCACAGATACATGCGATAATCACAGCAAATTATGAACATTTCATCACTTCAAAAAGAAACTCCTCTGCCCTTTAGCTACCACTTTCCGTCTTCCTCTTCCAATCTCAGCCCTAGTGAGGGCTACACTAATCTCCATTCTGTCCATAGTTTTCCCTATTCAGGTCTTACATCTGAATGGGATTATATATGGTCTTTGTGATTGACTTCAGTCACTTAGCACAATTTTTCAAAGCATATCCATGTTGTAGCATGCATCGATACTTAATTCATTTTTAAGGCTGAATAATTCCAGTGTATGGCTAAAATACATTTGTTTATCTATTCATCCTTTAGAGGATATTTGGATTTGTTGTCACCTTTTGGCTATGAATAATGTTCCTAAAAAGTCATGTACAAGTTTTTATCTGAACATGTGTTTTCATTTTAATTGGGCATATACCTAGGAGAGGAATTGATGGATCATATGGTAATTGTAGGTTTAAGTTTTGAGGAGCTCCTAGACAGTTTTCCAGAGTGGCTGCACCATTTTATAGTCATACCACCCACGTATAAGGGTTCCAATTTCTCCACGGATCCTCCACAAGATTGGTTATTATCTCAAATTTTGATTCCAGTCCTCCTAGTGGTTGGGAAGTGGTATCTGATGTGGCTCGGTGAGTCAAGGAGTTGAAAGAAAGATTTCTTGGACTCTCAAGGTCTGGCAGTAGTGCTCTTTTATTTAGAGAATAGTATGGAATAGCATGGGGACAGGACCCATGGGTTGAGGGTAGGGCTAAATTTAAGGCATAAGTATGTGAGTTATCTCTTTACAAGACAAAGGAAAGAATATGTAAAAAAAAAGTCGTTAAAATGGTATCAGTGCAGGTGGAGTCTGGTTATTGGGTGGTCCTATGACTTTAGACAAGAATCAGATCGGATTAAGTAAATGGCTGAAACCACCACGTTAAATATCATCTTCAGCTAAAGACAAAGGAGGATGTTGTTGTTGGGGGGGGGGGGGTGGTGGTCAGTTACATGAGGTTACCAGACAAGTACAGCAAACAAGAGCAAGATTATTATGCAAACTTAAGTCCTTGCCTTCCACATTAAGAGTTTCTGGAGATAAGGTCATCCCCCCTTCTTCCTGGTGCAGAGAGTGAGACACCCTCACAGATGGAGATTTCCTTTACAAATGTAAATGTCTCTTAACAAAGGGCAAGTAAATTATACTTTTCAGAGTTTCCTTCCCATCTGCAGTTTTTAAAAGTAACCAGCCTAAAATAATCCTCATCAGTATCTCATTGGGGTTTTGATTTGCATTTCCTTGATGACAAATAATGTCCAGCACTTTTTCATATGCTCTTGGCCATTTGCCTACCTTCCTTGGAAAAATGTGTATGCAGATTCTTTGCCATTTTTTAATTGAGTTGACTTTTTATTACTATGATATAATAGGTCTTTATATATTTTCAATACATGTGCCTCTTCAGATATATTCCCTGTTCTGAAGTCTACTTGTGTGAAATTAATAATAATTTTAAATTTAGTCTGGTCTCTCAAAAATCTCTGCTGTATCCGAGTCATGTGTTGATGATTGCTTTGTCTCTTTAAAATGTGTTTTTTTCTTTCTTTTTCATATGCCCTCTAATTTTTGGTTGAAACCCAGACATGATATATGAAGAAATAGGATTTCAGGTAAATAGGCCTTCAGTGTGAGGTGTTATGATTTCTTAAATATGGGTTAGACTATGTTTAATGTTTGCTGCAGCTGGAGGGGTCAGGGGCTTCATAGTCTGCGGTGCAGTTGTACTTATCTCCCTGGTGTGTTTGGGTTTCCCTAGGAATTCATTCTTTGTAGAGTCTGTGTCTTGCAGCTCTGTTTTCATCCACTGTTTTTATCCTGGGGCCCTGCTGACATGGTGTCAGGTATTTGAAAGGGAAAATGTCCTCTTATGTTATGATGAAACCTGCAATGTTTGTTGGTAAAGAATCCCCAGACTATGAACTTCAGAACACGTTCCTAGCACTTATATTTCCTCCATTTTTGTCAGAGAGGAACCTGAAGTGACTGCAGGTGTCTATCTGCACTTTGCCCAATCAGATAAGACTTTGGAACATTAATTCCCTTTGAGGGGAGGTCCAAGTTACAAAGAACAAAATACTTTGTGTGTATTCCAAAATGTTTTCCCCATTTCCTGCATGAAGGAGGCAATTTACTCCCATCTTCACTATGAGAACCAGGTTGGGCTGCTGAAGGAAACATTCATGAATTCTGGGGGCTCCCTAAGGCCAGCCCCCCAAGAGCATTTAACTCTCAAGATAATCTATACTATGTGTCTAGCAGTTCATATATTACAGTTTATGTGTTCCTAGATGTTGCCTGCTCCAGTGGCTTCTATTCTCGGTAAGTGGTTTTTCTCTACCAGTCTCTTCTTTTGGGATCATTGGTTTTGATACCAGCTCGACATGAGCTTGACATAAGGGAAGCCATTTTTGTAAAACGGGAGCCATATTGTAACTATAGATAGCCTCTAAGTAATTAACCCAGCTGGACATACTCTGTCCTGCAAATAGGCTAGATTATAAATAACAAGCATAAAGAAAACTGCATGCATCATGACTTATGACCTCTGCTTAGCTTTATACCTCCCAGCTGTGATAAGACAGTAACTTTGTTCTTTTGAGTTCCTTAGAAATGTAGTGACCCCCAGTCCATGGTACCAGATGGATAACATTCTTGACCCTCTTCTCCAATGACCCCCCCAGAGTGAGATTCTATACTGGCATACATCATCAATGACAGCTGAAAGGACTGCTATGGCATCGCCCCACATACAGTGCCAGATGGTGTGAAAACCCCCAGTCTGCAGCACCAGATGTCCAACATTCTGGACCACTTCCTCCATAGCCCTCTAGCCTTATATAATGCTTCAAGATTCTGTATTCTCGGGGTTGGCTTGGTGGCCGAGTGGTTAGGTTCACGTGCTCCACTTTAGCATCCCAGGGTTTTGCTGGTTCAGATCCTGGGCACAGACATGGCACCACTCATCAGGCCATGCTGAGGCGGCGTCCCACATAGCACAACCAGAAGGACCTACAACTGCAATATACAACTATGTATTGGGGGCTTTGGGGAGAAGAAGAAGAAGAAAAAAAAGAAGATTGGCAACAGATGTTAGTTCAAGTGCCAATCTTTACCAAAAAAATAAGATTCTGTATTGTCTTTAAGAACAGTTCTTTAGGACACAAATCCACCATCTTCCAATTAGCTGGCTTTTTGCTTAATAAAAGTCCTTTCTCTACACTGTCTTGCCTCTTGATTGATTGGCTTTTGTCTTGCAGCAAGCAGATCATGCCCTTTGCATGGCAACAGTTTGTCCTGTAATGTCAAATCTCTTGTGTATCTAAGGAGAGGTGTTGCTCTTCAGTTTGATCACGTTTCTTTGGAGTTTTTTTTCTTTGAGGAAGATTAGCCCTGAGCTAACATCTGCTGCGAATCCTCCTCTTGCTGCTGAGGAAGGCTGGCCCTGAGCTAACATTCGTGCCCATCTTCCTCTACTTTATCTGTGGGACGCCTGCCACATCATGGCTTGACAAGCAGTATGTAGGTCCGCATCTGGGATCTGAACTGGCAAACCCCGGGCCACTGAAGTGGAACATGCCAACTTAACCGCTTTGCCTCCAGGCTGGCCCTGGTCAGTTTTTTTTCTTATTGTGAAGATGAGAGTGATCACTCCAATTCTTTACATATTGGAAGAGAAACCATCATTCATGTCTGTTTCTCTGCATTTTCCCTTTTGAGACTACACCATTTTCACTTATTGATTCTACTGCTAGAGCCCTGTGGGTGTTTTCAAAGTTTTTCTTTTGTGACCAATACATCTAAATCATTGTCACACAGGGGTATCTACATTTGCATTCCTTTTCCTCATCTTCTAAAAATTCCCTAGCCTGAATACCTGTTTGTGACTGGAAAGACATCTTCCATTGGTTAACTTCTATTTTGTCATTGCCCATTTGGGGGCAGGATTGACACCTTATCTAGAATGGGATTGAATGCCAAGACCGATGTTGCCACATGCATCAAGTTAATGGACAATATTTGTTACTCACAGGCACTTCCTAAGGAGAGTAGGGCAAAGGTAAGCAGGTTGGGTGGCTTGTGCAAGGGAGAATGGGTTGGCCCTTTACGGTGTATAGGGTTAGAGGCTGCAGGATTTCAAGGTTAAGATTCTTTACCTGATAACAGAAAAAAAGAGAAAGAGAAAAGAGGTATGTGTTCGTATTTGCAACTTGTTGACCCACTGTGAGCCAAACAAACCACTGGCTGGCCAATAAATGGTCCCAAGCCAAGTGGTCATCAGGACCACAGCTGCCAGGGAATTTCTCTTCGTGTAAAACATTAGCTGCCTGCTACATGGGTTTTGAGTGTTTTGGACATTTCTTGATTGGCATTAACATGAGTATGTTGAATGACAACATGTATGTCCAGGTCAGTGCATGTGACTCACCACAATGAGAATGTGAGTGCAACTGATAGGAAAACAGCACATTGGTGTTGAGATGGGCCAGAGGGGGTTTTGAAGGTGGATGCCCCAAAATGAAATACTGACATCCAGGGTACAGAGCACAGGTGATGTTATTAGGAGGAAGACCCATGAGATGCATATAACAGTGGTGGGCAGTAGGCTGGACTATGTTAAAGAACACTATTTCCCCCATACAGAGTGAAACCTCTGATACAGCTCCTCAGGTGGGGGCCAGTTTGGGGTGAGCTGACCGTCCTGAGACAGTGGTGTTGGCGGGGCTCTCTTCCTCTTTCATGAAGCACACCCAGTGGGTAAACTCCATTAATTACTGGTTGATTGCTCTATTGTTTTCACCAATGTCCTGCAGGAGGCACAACTATCTCTACCAATCAATTCGATACAATTCTGGTTCCTCTGGTGAAACACTTTCTGAAGTCACTGTTTGATACTTGTTCTGACCCTTGGAACCCTCCTCCCAGCAGTCTAATTCCCTGGTTCTTTCCAGAAAATTAGTCCGTCTACAGTCTAGACTATATTTTCATTAAATATATGAATCTACTCCTAATTGACTTTTACCTCATTCTCCAGTTTTTTGAGAGTGTCCTTTGACTTGACCTTCTCATGATCTCTTGCCAGCAACCTTAATTCTTTGGAAAGGTATGGAAGAGCTATGTGTTTTATGGCTTGCTTCACCCCCACGTTCAGGAAAAATCTCTGTGCCATGACCCTGGAGCTGTTTTAGGACAATAAGAAGCCTCTCTTTGAGTGACAATCCCATTTTAGGAGCTGAGGGCTCAGTGCATGGGGAGACAGCAGCCAGAGGATCTTGATTGTGCCTCCTGGCTCCTCAGGAATGGTTTATGTTACAACCACCTCATGAGCCAGAACAAGGGCAATTGACAACCACGTATTGTCAGCTCACCACTCCAAAGGCATCACCTCAGTTCCTTGTGTAGGGAATGAAACAATGGTGTCCCCACCTTTCAAGCACACTCCCCCAGCACTTATTAACCCCCAGCAACAGGTAGCTGGGGGCAGGGTCCCAAATGTCAAAGTCCTGTGTTTCCCAGGAAGAAAGCCCTCTTAGTGGAAGCTGACTTGGCAGGATGCCATGTGTTCCAGACTGTGGGAGTGATGAGGATTATTTTGGGCTGGTTACTTTTAAAATCTGCAGACAGGAAAGAAACTCTGAAAAGTAGAATTTACTTACTCTTTGTTAAGAGACATGTACATTTGTAAAGGAAA